GGCTTATATGTAACATGAACGAGGGCCTTCTTGTTTTGGTTTTCTGTCCTTCCCAATACCCCACAACTGTTTAGACCCAAGAAAATCACACATAGGTCTCCATAAATTCTAAGCAGATTGGCCCATTAGCTTTAGCCTCTCACTGGCTAACTCTTACATCTTGAGTAACCCATTTTTCTGATCTATGTTAGCCATGTGGCTCAGTACCTTTTTCCAGTGGGGCAGATCACATCCTGCTGCTTCGGTGGTCTGGGCAGGAGTGGGAGGAATCAACATCCTCCTTCCCAGAATTTTCCTGTTCTCATTACATCATTTCTACTTCCTGTCTGGTTTCCCACCTATATTTCCTGCTTGGCCAATCAGTGTTTATATATAACAAGACAGAATACAGACAATTCTCCCACACCACTTATATAAAGAGTAAAAGACATGTTGGGTTAGGGTTTAGTCTGAGCTGGTCTCAGACCCTTAGGAATTTTGTCAGCTTCCTTTGGAGCTGCTCCAGCTGTTTGGCTTCTTCAAAGTTCCTGAGTAAATGACCAGGGCTTGGACATCTCTCAGCTCTTTGCAGTGTTTAGTGGCCATTCGGTCTTTGAAATTTTCCTTTTATTTCCCACCCCTTATTTATGAAAAGTTGTGGTAACAAAAATGAGAATGGCTCCATGCTTTTGTGAGATTAATTATTTTAAATGAGGACAGAAAATCAAACACCTGAGAAGAAAATGGCTCAGAAATGGGCAAGCCAGCATTACGCTGTGCTACAGTTGCTTTGCTACATGGCCCTTTTATTTTTCTCCCGAGTAACGTAAGAGCCATTGAGCTCAGAGGACACGGACATCCTGTACAGGAAATAGATGGTGTGTGGAGGGGAGGGAGGGCGCCCAGCAGTCATTCTCTGAATCCTTCAGCCAGTTTCACTCGAATACATTAGAGAAGGCCATAAAGGGACGGGAAGCAGAGCTCCACCTGGATGGCTTCCAAGCCCTTCACAGAGCTCAGGAAAAGCTCGGCTAAGCCACACGCATTTTATGTTTTCCTGCGGAAAGATTCCACTTGGTGGGCTCAGGGTTAAGGAGTCTCAGCAAGTTTTTATGGAGGCACTAAAACATTCTCTTGGTGTTTTGCTCTGTTGCTGAAGGAAGCCCGTGGGGGAGGGCAGAACTCAGGGGCTGCCGACTGATGAGCTCGGTGAGGCACTGATGTGAACACAATCGTGGTGCCAGCACAGCTGCCCTGCTCCTTGGACGTGTCTCACAGAGGATTGTGTGTGTGTTTGCACACACAGCCATGCACGTGTGTGAATCCTCAGTTGAAATGTAAAAAGCCTAAACTTGGGAGAGTAGGTATGTGGGGATTTTTGCTTTGCCCACACAACATGAAGGGATGGTTTCCTGGGAGAGGACAAGACAGCCATATGCAAAGGGTCGGGAGGGGAGGGTGTGAAGACTGAGCTCCTCCCCGAACCAGGAGCTCCCCCACCAAAAAAAAAACAACCATCAGTTCCAAAGAGAAAACAGAAGCATATTTTGTTCTTCATACGAGTGATGTAGAATGTTCATTGAAGCAAAAAACCATTTGTGACATGAACTCAGCCTTTATTTGGGCCACCATGTCCTAAGGTGTTTATGTCACAGCCTGTGATTTACACAGGGGTTGGGTGTTGTCATGAGAAACAAACCTGTACTCTTTGGAATTTGCTGCAACCAGTTCCTTTATCTGCTGACTTAGCTGATACCTTCTCTTTCTAGAAAAATATGCATTGGTTGCCTTCCTGGTTTATGCTTCTCCAAGAAAGCATACTGTCCATCTTCAAGATACCTTACCATGCACTAACACTTCCAACTCTTCATTCATAACTAATCTCTTCCCACATTCTCATTCTTCTTAAATTGTAATCATAAAAATATAGTTTCCATCTAGTCTAGAAGGTAAGGCATTGTATTAAATGGAGATGACGGAATGCTACCAGTGAGGAAAGTACCTCCTGTTTCTCCCAGGTTTAGAGGATCAGTGTATTTCTACCCCATTCTAAGAAAGCTAGAAACGGTCCCTCCCTCTCTCTCCCTTTTCTCTTTCATTTCCTAAGTGGTCTATGGAGCTTCTACTTTCAAAAACCTTGAAGAAAAGCAAACAGCTGCATTTCATTTGAAATGACAAACTCATTCAAGGACAAAACCTTAGACGCTTAAGTTAGTTTTTCTGTTTTCAAAGTAGAAAGAACATATTACACCCCCGAGTAAGCTGTTACCCCCAGATTTGGGAGAGTATGATTCAAGGTGCCGAAGCCATAGACTCGTTTCTGGAGGACTATGCAAATATACAAATCCTATTTCATTCATTCATTCTTGAATGAAATGAGTGATAAGGTAGTTCCCCTTCAGCCTGATAGAGCAGCTCCACCTACTGCACAAAAGCTGTATTTTCTGCTTGATAATTGCACAGTGGAATTTCAACCCTACAGCACCAACCACTAAACAGAGCTGGTTGACCCTTAATTGTCAACATCAAGCTATGAGTCAGTTTATCAGAATTTCCTTCTCCTAGTGTTTTAATGTGGGAGGGTGGGTGATGTCACCACACACACACACACACACACACACACACACACACACACACACACGACTGCTCTCTCAGATTGAGGGTAGCAATTGCAGAATGAAAGATGAGACATCCAAGAATATAAATCTGGGAGTTGTAGAGTAAGCTAGAACATTGCTTTTGGTGCCTTCAATGTCATTTATTCTGAAAATAAATTATGTTCCCCATTGGGTGTGAGAGCTAATATCGTCAATTGAACCATTGATACTTCATCCTGAGGCATAAGCTGATTCTTTGTCAAATGAATCCAGCTGTCATGGGCTTTCCTTAAATTTCCCCTTCTTTAGTGGGTTGCTTTTTCATGGTCCACTACTAACACTTAAGTTTACAATATCTTTCGAGGAGAGACACATAATGTTCTGCTTTATATTGCATCGTTTTTGTCTTTGTGAAGCTGGGGCCACTCATTATCCTTCCAACCGTTTGGATTAGGTCATCTGGTTTCTTAATCGCAACATCAGATAAATGATAGCAAACACAGCACAGCCCTGAGATGATTCCTTTTTCCACTTTCTGTTGTTCGTTCAAGGTCCTAACTGATTATTGACCTTTCAATGCACTCTGGAAGATGATTCGTCTTGTCTTGAGGATATGATGTTATCACAAAACTGACTTGATAATTAGTTTTGCAGCTTCCATCATTCATGTTATGTTGTATTTGTCAACTCATGATTAATTAATTTATAGTTGAATAGAAGGCCACAGAATCAAATATTTGTATTTCATATTTCTCAAGTCTTTGTTCTCCAAATAAATTGAATAAGACATAATTTGTTCATATATTATGTGCCAAATTCACAATTATGCAGTTGATCCATATTTAAATTTAGAATTGTAAGTACCTAATGGGCTTTAATTTTTAGTTTGACTTTAAGAATGGCTATATGGGTGCTGGAGAGATGACTCAGTGGGTGAAATGTTTGCTGAAGACTTTGGCTTGGATCCTATCTCCTCATTCCTTCTTCATTACTTAAAATGTGCAAAAGAAAACACAACCACTCAGCACCCGAGCCAAAGGCCAGCACAGTAATTGACACCTGTGTTCTCAACGCCGGAGAGTTGAGAGAAAGAATGGGAGCCTAGAGCTCATTATCCAGATGTTAGCCAGTGCGCGGGTTCAAGTTCAGGCTGAGGCCGTCTCAGTTGTAAGATGGGAGCAATAGAAGGAGGTGCATGATATAAACCTCTGTCCTCTATACAAGTGCAGAGGCATGCATACCTATATGTACACATGTACATACACTGTGAACCAGAGCATGTGTGCACACACGTATGTACACACACACACACAATTCTTTAAAAACACTATTTGAAACTCTAAAAAATGTCAAAAGTCTGGCTTTCTCAAATATACCTGCATTTTACAAAAACGTGCCATATTTGCCATAAATCGACCCATTCACTGACAATTTTGGTGTCTGCTAAAACCTGACCCTGTGCTAGTTTCTGGGAATTTGGTGGTTAATAAATAAATGGATTCCTCTCCCTCACTGAACTCCTTTTAAAAAAGTTTTCACAGCAGTAACAGAGTGAAGCAGTGTGTGTCAAAAAGGATGTGACAGCCTTTCCTTTTTCTTCAGGAAAGAGTAAAACTCAAGGAGACGACTTCCTCAAAGATAGAGGCCCCAAACTAGGGTTTCAGAGAGGGCAAACTGTTCACCAGAAAGCTAATTAGTGGAAAGAAAACTTCTAGAAGAGTAAATATCTTGAAAGTCCCTGGGTTAAGAAAGCAGGGCAGGATGAGGGGTGTTATAATACACTTAGAAGTCGGCATTGCAAACTGTGTTCTAAGGAGGTTCTAGACAAGTGTGCAGAGGTCAGATTGTGGTGGGGCCTTCATGAATTTGAAGTGATTCTGCATGCAGTGGTGGTCCTTGACTAGCTTTTGTTGGTTTATATATCTTAAATAAGGAAAAGGGAACAATGAAATGTGATTCGAACTGATTAAGAAGTTCCCATCCCACACTACAGAGGGAGGATAAGGAGCTGATCGGAAAGGAGGCAGGAGGGACATAAGTTAGGAGACAAGGAACTGATGCATGACAGGCAGAATACGGGTGGACTGCTATTAAATGGGCCATGCTAGGAGTAGAGATGATCTGATGGTCAAGTTTCTATAAGAAATCCACCAAAACTTCTGTCTCCAGCATAAAGAGACTCTGATAGCATCATCAATTGACATTCAGGGAATGCCCATATTAAAGAAAAGCAAAGCAGAAAGGAAGCCACTGTCGAGGACAGCTTGCATCTGGGGCAAAGGTCCATGGAAGCCTGCTGTCATGCCAACAGACATCTGGGGTAAAGGTTCATGAATCCTGGGTGCAGGGACAAGTTCACTCAGCATGATTGTCTGCTCAGTTTTTCTCATTTTGCCACTCTTCTTGCTCCACATCCTGCCACAGAGGACTGGTACGAACAGCTACAGCCCCTCATCCTCACCCTGAAGGAGTGCATGGGAGAGGTGGTGAGCCGAGCCAAGCAGTCCCTGACGTTTGTGCTACTTCAGGAGCTGGCCTACAGCCTGCCCCAGTGCCTGATGCTGACGCTGAGAAGAGACATCGTCTTCAGTCAGGCGGTGGGTGTCCACTGTGGTGTGTACAGAAGTGTGAACTGCCGGCGTCCCATCCTCGATGGGGGCACAGCCCTTTGAACGGTGTTATTTTTAAATAGCCCTTCTGAAATTCTGGCCTCCTGTTTAGTTTAGCTGGATAAATAGACTGAATACATCATGGAGAACTTTTGAATCTTTGATATTTCTCTGTGAAAAGACACAGCTCAATGTGAAATGTATATTTTGCTTGAACCGTGGATGGACTTTGAGAGGAAGAGTCAGTGTTCTCTTGTGTCATTCCCTGAGACAGCCTATGAGGGGAAAGGAAGGGACTGTCACCTTGCATTGCAAGTGATGGCCGAGAGCTCATCAAAGGGCATTTGTATATAACCCCTTATTTATTCAGCTTTTCCAGAAATCTCAGGACAAGGCTTTGCAGAGATCTCTTCTTCCCTTCATAAGAGACTTTTTGCAAGGCTGCAGGATTAATTTGTAATAGTTGGCTGATGGTTCCCTTTTCCTATATCCAAACCTAACGGTGACTTTAAGACCAGTTCTACCCCCAGCTCAAGGCTCACCACTTTCCTTTTGCTCCCCTCTCTCTACCCCACGATTCAGTTTCAGAGGTCAAGATGTGGAAGAAAGGAGAGCACAATGCTTCACCTTGTAAGCTGTCATTGCAGAGGGGGGGTTTCACCAAATTGCCCATTGCCAGTATATTACGCCATTAGTGGTCCAGTGGAAGACAGACCCAGCCAGGCACTGCACTTTCCCTTAAGCCTGCTCATTTATGATGTCCTTTTAGTGACTCTTGTCACATGTGCAAAAACACAATACTAGTAGAATTTGAAAATCTTAAGAAGTTTAGTGGAGTTTAGTGGTTATAGACAGTAGACATCCAATTCAAAGATTTTCCACCTTGGTTCTAAAATCCATTTACCTAGCTTTCTTTCAATTCTGTATTCCCAAACCCTTAGACAATGCCACCCTAGATCAAAGACCATCAATTTAATAAATATGTGCAAATTCTAGCAGCTTTGTTATATACACTTGCTGAATTTTAATTAAAGCTGGGATGTCTCAAAAGTCTGAAGATATTTACAAACTGAAGTTATAAGGTTGCTGACCCCAGTGAATTTCTTGAATAATTTCTTTCCTTAGCTTGCTGGATTGGTGTGTGGTTTTATCATCAAGTTACATACAAGTCTGCACGACCCCGACTTCCTCCAGCAGCTTCACACAGTGGGCTTGATAGCGCAGTATGAAGGACTGCTAAGCACCTATAGTGAGTATTGCATGCACCTATGAAGGACTGCTCAGCACCTATAGTGAGTATTGCATGCACCTATGAAGGCCTGCTAAGCACCTATAGTGAGTATTGCATGGGTTCGTCTTAAGATCTTATTGCTGGTCATAGTCATAATATGTCAGTTTTCTCAGATAAGGTGAAAACTCAGTGGTGAACCTTTTCTATGCCGCATGTCAGAGGAATGGTGTAGCTTCTAACTTCTTACTCGCTCGCCCTTGGGTTTTCCTTGGGATTCAATTTGTGTTTTGAAGATGGAATTGTGGGTTATTTCAGAGTGGGCTCTTTAGCAGTCATCTGGATTTTTTTTAATATACAGATTTGTTGACAACATTGCTTTCATTGACTGGATTGTAAAGACACCATAGCCTCATGTCTAGGACTGTGCTGTTCAATACGGGAGCCCCATGTGTTTATGAAGTGCTTGATATTCAGCTACCCCCAAATCCATGTGTTCTAGACATGAACATCAGATTGCAAAGACTAGCAGAGGTAGCTTTTTTTGGCATTAGCTGGTTAGACGTTTATGTGGCTTTACATGTGAATCTACAATTTGTATATGTTGGGATTATATATACTGTACTATTAAAATTAATGTTGCTTTGTTTCATTTTATACTTTTAAAGAAATGAAGAACAGAAACTCTGAAGAATAGCCCACATTCTACTTCTATTGCATTATGCTAATCTAGGGCATTTATTATGTCTTCAGGCAATGTTTTTCAGAATTGGAAGACAAAATTAGCATTAGGCGGATTGATAATTGATGAAATGATCAGTGAAGTCCTCTATTCTAAAATATCAAATGGCAGTCCTGTCAATAGAAGATGTCTAAATGATAGTTTGCTTCATAAAAAGGCTTAGAAATCTTCCTCTGGCCTCCCAGTACAGGTGAACATTCTTCTTCCCTCAAAGGGAACACCGACGTCTGCAGTCCATTGAAAGCGTTCTTATTTCGCTGTTGAAAACCTGCACAGTCGATCGGGGGCATATGCTGAATGGGCTCAGTGCACTGAGAAACTCAGTCTCTGCACTGCCAGGCAGAACTCCAGCAGGGAGGCACCGCAGCGAGCAGCATTTTAGTTTAATAGTCTGTTTGTTAACAAGGTACCTTTCTCCCTGTGCAGGTGATGAAATCGGAATGCTCGAGGACATGGCTGTCGGCATTTCAGACTTGAGGAAAGTTGCGTTTAAAATAACTGAAGCCAAGTCTAGTGATGACCTGCCTGTTCTCACAGGAAGGCGGTGAGTGGTGCCCCTGCCCAAAATCTAGATGTTTTCACACTCATGGTGTTTTGTGGCAAATTTCCTCGGAATTCAGGCTTGGTGTTCTTTCTTTCTTTCTTTCTTTCTTTCTTTCTTTCTTTCTTTCTTTCTTCTTCTTCTTCTTCTTCTTCTTCTTCTTCTTCTTCTTCATCCTCCTCCTCCTCCTCCTCCACACCTCCTCCTCCTCCTCCTCCTCCTCCTCCTCCTCCTCCTCCTCCTCCTTCTCCTTCTTTTTCTACTTCTCCTTCTCCCTCTCCCTCTCCTTCTCCTTCTTTTTTGATGAGAAGTAAATACAGATTGGATGATACAAGGAGGTCCTGAAAATATCCTGGAAGTCTCATGCATGTTTGTGAAGTGGTCATGAGGTTGCACATGATAAGGTTCATGAAACAGAAGAAATCTGCAGCCGCGGTGACATTCAGAGCCAACTCCTCTTCACGCTGTCTGGTCCAAAGCTCTGGGTGTTCTTACGTTTGCGGGAATTGCTCAGCTAATAGCTTCATAATTCTTGAGATGACTTCAAATTAAATTCAGTTAAAAGCAGCAACATGTAAGGAAGGATATATTCTTATGTCAGGGGCATATTCTACCATTTTTTAAAATTATTTTTGACAATTCACTTTCAGACTCTGAGATTTCTGAGAAAGGGTTTTTTTTTTTAATAAATAGCTTATAAGGTCAGAATATGGCAGGCAGAGTTCCAGAAATAATAAAAAAATGTGGCATGTAAAAGAGATTTTTAATAGAAGAATTGTACCATATAATAATTTGTTTCATTCAGAAGTCATCCAATTTTGATTGATCTGGTGTTTCCACATTTGAATATTATATGAGGGACTTGAATTTTGAAGTTGTCTCAGGTCGCAGTGTAAACATGTGTTACAAAAAGATGCAGAACAGATCAAGTAAACATACAATAGTCACTTAGAATTATGTGCTAAAGGTGCATACACAACAGTCAGTTCCTCGTGTAGAGAAGAGAACTCTGGAGCACAAAATAAACAAAGCCCGATGAAAGTAAATGTCTCATCTGAATATTAACTCATCTTTTGCTATTATTGGAGGAAAAATGAATAAAATTGTTCACAAACACATCTAGAACATAGCACATTCTTCCGAAGTTTATTACCGAGTGGGATATGCTGACATGTCCCTCACTGTTCATGAGGGAGTTTACCCGGCCACTGTGCTAGTGGAGGGAAGGAGGTTCTCTCTGAGGATATCCCTCCAGCCACATTTACATTCAGAACTTGTTAGAGAAGTACAGTATTCCCAGGCCAGAAAAATGCATCTGGGTCCATCCTCTCTGCTATAACAAGAGCTACCTCAAACAGCTGTCTTATGTGGGGAGGGAGCTTAGGTAGCAGAATTACTTGCACACCACACTCAGAGACCTCAGTTTGGTCGTCAGCCCAGAGAAAGCTGGGCCTGGGTTCTATCACCAGTAGTGTGTGTGTGTGTGTGTGTGTGTGTGTGTGTGTGTGTGTGTGTGTTTGCCTCCTCTACAAACCATCTATACTTCTTTCTCCATGGCTGGCTGGCTCTCCTTTTTATCTGACTACCACCCCTGCCTATCCCTCCTCTGACTAGCTATTGGCCATTCAGGTTTTCATTAGACCAATCAGGTGCCTTAGGCAGGCAAGGTAAAACAGCAACACATCTTTCCAGAGTAAAACAAATGCAGCATAAACAAATGCAACACATCCTTGCCTAGTTAAACAATTATTCTGCAATGCAAACAAATGCAACAAATCTTTACATAGATAAACAAATATCCTACTCCACAATATGAGTCTATTATCAATAGTATTTAACAAAATATTTTACTGGAAAATTTTTAATTATTGTTAAAGGGAAACCCACTCTTTGTCCTGTTCTTTTTCCAATGTATAAATTATGCTCCTACCCACTCCATGTACTTCTGAAAATATGTGTCTTCCTCCGGTCCCTAGAGTAAACTCTCTACATGTCTACATTCAAGTTCTTCCTGCATCAGATAATAAGTGTGACATATGCAAGGAGCTGGACTCATTTTATGGATCCTAAACTTTCAACATTGTATAGTTAGGATCATTTTTAATGCAATTTTCTAGTGGAAAAATGTTTCTTTTTTCTGCAAAATTTTCTAAAGAATCACAAATGCCTAAGGTTAATTACATATTCAGTAATGTTATTTCCATTTGGTTGTCCCAAACAGGCAGGTTTATCCATCCAACTAGGCAAAAAGAAATGTGTATCCTAGTCACATTGCTCATCCACGTACCTCAAAAGAAGCCACTCAAGGGAGGACAGGCTTATTTGGCCTCCTTGTCTGAGCTAAGACACTCTATCGGGAAGGGAAGGCGTGGCTCTGGGTGGCTCCATGACACGGAACCTCTGACTGTGACTGCCACACTTCTGCGTACCAAGGGCAGGGACACACTCTAAACATGAAGTATCCTAAGCCATGGACAGTGGCCTCCGTTCCCTAGTGGTGCCACCTCCAAACACACTGCCACTCTCTGGTACCAACTGCTCAAACCCCAAACTGTATGGGGACAGTTCCCATTTAATTTGCAACAGTTTTATTTATCACTTTATCAAGACTCATTATACTGAAAAAAAAAACATTAATATGTTTATTGTCCCTATTTTGAGGCCTGATCTGGTTCTAATGATAAGTACACTCGGGCAGGTGTCGTAAAACGTGAGGTAAACATCCTCCTTTCCTGTGGAACGCGGAGCAAGGCTAAGAGTGTAGGTGCCCATAATCGTGCCGTTGCGTATGTCATGCATTTTAACAACGAAAAGGGTATATGTTCTTCAGTGAATGCGGGGAAAAAAAAAGCAGACAACCACAAAAGCATCGAAGGTGTCGTGGTCCAACTTACCTGTTTTTCCTCCCGATAAATGGAAAAACCCCGAAAGCAAATACCAAGTACCGTTTCTTTCCCGCCCTTCGCTGTCTGCAGAGAACACTATGTGGTGGAGGTCAGGCTCCCGGCTGCCATGTTTGAGTCGCTCCCTCTGCAGATTAAAGAAGGCCAGCTGCTCCATGTCTACCCAGTTCTGTTTAATGTTGGAATCAACGAGCAGCAGACTCTGGCTGAGAGGTAGGCTTCGTGAGAAGGATGGTGTTCGGAGGGTCTTTGAAAAGCCGTATTTCTGCTTATAGAATTTAGACATAGGTATGTATAGCATTTTCCTCTCAACTAGTACACTATCTAGTTACTTCTTGTGCAAAGGTAAACTGTACACACGAAGAAGCCGTGCCCTTAAGTAAGCTTAAATGTATCAGAACCTTGAGAAACAAACTCACTGACTACACAAGCAAAGTCTGCAATGGCCTACGAGGGTGACCTATAGAGTAGCCTCAGAGTCTTTCATGTGCAGACTTTTAAAGAACTACTTAGGATTTCCAAGGACCAGTAGCCTCTAGACTAGACAAGTTTTCATCTTCTGGGCTGTTGTAACTGCACCATAGGTCACTTGTTTTTGAAAACATTCTCCTTCCTCTATCTCCCTTGTACATTAAAAATGTGTCTTTAAGTACCTAGAAACTGTGTACGAGTGATAGAATCTGGAAAACAAACGAAACTGCGAATAGGGCGGCATGCTGAGGGAAGCAGGAAAGTCAGTTTGCCTGACACTCTGACATCAGCGTGCTGTTGATCAGGCAAATCACTTCCCCTCTGTTCTTTGATGCCTACTTTCATGATTTCAAATTTTGGTCTACCCAGGCAACTCTTGCATGGGAGATATACTGCATAAATCCTGTAACATTTTCTTTAATATTCATCCCAAATAATAACTATGTTATATGTCCATTCTTACATAAACCTACTTTGACAAGTATAAAGATTGAAGGAAGACTAGACAGCTTAAAGACTAAAATTCATTTCTTAAGAGTCTGAGAAATCCATGAACCAGTTCCAGGGCACTGGTTCTTGGTGACGGCTCTTTTCCTATATGCTCCCATGACCTCTACTTGACATGTATGAAGGGGGAGGGAAGAGATCTTTGGTATCACATTCTGTAAGGACACTAATTCTGTGGGGTCAGAACCCACCCTTGTATCATCATTTAACCTCAGTTATTCCCTTAGAGGCCACAGCAGTAAACAGAGACACCCTGGAGGATACAGTTTCCACGCATGAGCATGAGTTTTGTGAGAACACAACACTTGTCCAACACTCCTCCAGTTACTTACAATATCTAGCCGAGTCAGAGATCCCCAAGGAAACTCTCTGTGTGTTTTTTGGACACTCTATTCCTGGTCTTCAGGTACAGGTTGATACAGATGCAGAACATGGGTTGTGCCAGATCCCGCTTTGCCAGGTATAGGGCATATAGAAAAAGCATGATCATCCTCCAGAGGAAGCATGTCAGCAAATAGCACATGAAATTTGGGTCTCCAAATAATCAAAGATGTTGAAGAAACAAAACTAATTTAAAAAACAATGTGATTTCTAGGATAGAAACTTCCCTGTAGGGAGGTGATTCTCAACCTGTGGGTAGCAATTCCTCTGGGGATCAAATATTTACATTATGGTTCATAACAGTAGCAAAGTTACAGCTATGAAGTAGCAACAAAATAATTTTTGGTTGGGGGGGGGGGGTCACCACAACATGAAGAACTGTATTAAAGGGTCACAACATCAGGAAGGTTGAGAGCCAGGATTGTAAGGGAAGCTGCCTTTCACCGGCTTTGGAGGGCAGATAGGAATTCATCAAGCTGACACGGAGTGTAGAACAGTATACTCAGAGGAAGATAGTGGGGGAAGTCTCGTGGGCCTTGTGATGCTTAGATGTAGGAGAATGGTTAACGGCACCCCACATGTGTCCCTCAAGCGCTGTGTAGAGGGCAGATGTGACAACTAATGGGACTTGCATTTGGTTTTTATAGAGAGACGAGAAACTCTTAGAGACCTGGTATGAGGAAGTATGTGTTAGTTTAACTTGTCTAATATTTTAACTTGCTGTCTGATACAGGGCTGGTAATAAACATTTGCTGGAAATACTGTTCTAGGAATATGCCACAGGAGAGGTGGGAGGGAAAGAGGGGCCAGAGGCATGTCACTAAGATGTCCTCGAAGCACTATGAGACGAATCACACCCATCTAAAGGGAGTGATAAAAGCAGAGATTTGAAAAGTCCAGTGAGTGATGGATAAAGTGGCCAGAGAGAGGAATCTGAGTACTACTTAGATCTCAGAGCTGAATTTGTGGTAGATATTGGAAGTGGATTTAGAAGGATTTCAGTCTGTGGTTTGGAAGGAATAGTAAATCTACCAGAGATGTCAGTTGACACCTAGGAAGTGTATTTATAGATTTGGATGGAGGTACATATTTGAAGCTACTTGCTAGAGAGACAAGCTTTAAGAATGAAACTGGGACCCATTCAAAGAGAAGACAGATGCAGAGGGATACAGGAACAAGCTCTGTGATAGAGGGGGATGAGAAACACCGGTGCGCAGTTGCTGGGCTTCACAGGCTCACACCGAATACCTTCAAGGTGCAGTCGTCCCTGGGGGACTTCAGGGATACACCCACGCACCCAGCAGTTGGCAGAGGGCAAGATGCCATCCAGACCGGCTTCCAGACATGTTCTTCCAATCTCTGTGCAAGCACAAACAGGAGATCTCGAATGGACAGAAAAAGTGTGGAGTGGGTTACAGAAAACCTTGCCATCTATTTAAAAGGGATAGGAGAGGGTATATTATCTTTAGTACTGGTGCAGAGTCCCCAACTCCCTTCTTTGCTTTTGTTGTTGTTGTTAGGTTGGTTATTTTTGTTTTCCTATTTTCAGGTTTGGAGATGTTTCTTTGCAAGAAAGCATAAATCAAGAAAACTTTGAACTTGTTCAGGAATATTATTCGATATTCACAGAAAAGATGCCGCCTGATTGTAAGTATATGTGTTGTAGAAAGATTAACAATCGTTTGCTGATTAACCATCTTAAGAGGGGCTGGAGACAAGGGCCATGACTAGAGCGGCATGGAGTGGGGAGTCACAGTGATTTTGAGATTTTGTGAAGGAAAGGGATGATTACCAGGGATGTGGCCAAAGCCTGCTTCCTTGCCTTGGTTGCTGTTGCCTGGTGTTCATGCTGGGACACTAAATGCAGTACCAGCAGAAAATATGGGAGTTATAATTAGAAATCTCAATTGGGTACACAGGAATTCCATATAATCTTTGACACTTAAATACCTTGACTGTTTGTGTTTAATCTTTTAGACATGAGATATGGCGCAGGAATATAAAGAGGAAGTCAGGTAGAGTACCTGTTCTCCAGCGTAGTAATTAGTTTATAAATCAAGGAACAGATCCCTTATTTTATGTGCAGTTTTTAGACGTCTAAGCTGATAGGCATGTTTTAAACTATGGAATTGTCTTCTCTATTATTTATTTCTGTAGCTCTTTCCCCACGGAGCTCTAGAGTATTTGGATTTATAGACTGACCGTCTATCTCTAGTATAATCTGTTCAGATATGTGTACCGATAAAAAACTAAGTTTAAACAAATGTGAAACATTAAATTTACAACAAAAGCTGCAATTAAAGTCCGATGCCATCAAATTACAAGCAATTTGTTCATTGATCTGTGTCGGATTATGCTTGGAGTTTCTTATGCAGCAGTACGTTCAGATCTTTCTAGAACCCAGTAAGTATTGTTTCATGACCCTACAGCTACCTGTGTATTCATATGCAGATAGATAGCAAAATTCACTTCCTAGTGTTTACATTATAATTTTTATGTTATTATATTTCACATAAAATATTATTTTTGCCAAAAATTAAATTCTTCAGATGTGGTTTCCTAAGCATCCAGCATACTTGGAATTATACACCTGTTAATTTCACTAGGGTTACTAATATGTATATACCAAACTACTTTTCTTTATTGATTAATGAAATTTACTGAGACTTAGACATTGGTCACTAGTTGCTCCAAGGCTTTGTTTTTCTTTTCATTCTAAAATAATCTCAGAATTTTCTTTCACTTACAATGTGATTTCTGTCTTCATTGATATCTGAAAACTACATATGGCCTAAAAGCATTAGCGTACCTGGGAACCCGTCAGCAAAGCAGGCCCTCAGTTCCTTTCCAGATTCCTCATCTTCCCGGAGCCCATGCTTCCAAGTGATGTCTGGTCCTTAGCAGTGTTTCAGAGCTATTAGTATGCCGTCCTTATTCAAAGGGTAAATTCAAAGTACGTTGCTGCAAACTGTGAAGGGTTTTATTATGCCAGAAACAACCGTATCACCTTAAAAGGACATAAGGAGAAGTGCTTATTACCTAGCATATGAAATATAAAATATTTATATACTCAGTAATTTAAACTATTCAAGGGAATAAATGTTTAAAGATTTAAGAACATTAAACTTTCTATATTAGCAATTAAATAGAGTAGCCCCCCTCAATGTCCATGAGGGATTGGTTTCTTGACACCCTACAAATACCTTAAACTAAATCATTTCTACTAATAAAACCTAGGGCAATCTAAGAAGTATGGAACTGTTCACTATGCTGTATTTTTATTGGTAATAATCACATATACACAAAGACTACATCAGGTTCAGGACAGATGCAGTTTTGTTTCTGAACACTTCTGATCTATGGTCGTTGAATTCATAGATGGTAATCCCATGAGGGGAAAAACTGACTATATAATCAAGTGTCTTTAGAACACACATACACACACACACACAGAGTTATCCTGATCAGTCTATATAAGGTATTGTATGTATATGTAAATTTTATGTATATGATTGGGGGGCTGATCCCTCTGTATTAGAGAGCCAGTTGAGGCCCCTTTCCTGGGGAAGCCAGCAGGAAGTCCTTAGCTGCCTGCAGTTCTTTATCAAGGACTGAAGCAGTGTGACCTTTCCACCTTCCACATTAGCCTGTCTGCTCACGGTGTCTTGTTTAGGCAGCCATGCTGATGAGATTTCATGGGTGTAGTTTCTCTGACATTTCTAGGAGATTAATCCTCCGAGCCAGCTTCCCGTTCTGTTGCCCCCCCTCCCCACGACCTTGTAGTGAGGAAGCCTTGCTGTACAAGTCTAATTCGGGGCTGCTCACCATTGTCCCCCTCCCCCATGACCTTGTAGTGAGGAAGCTGTGCTGTGCAGGTCTAACTCGGGGTTGCTCATCAAGTCACTCCTTCATTCTCTGCACGGTCATCAGTTGCTGTTTTCTGCAATGGCCTCTGTTGTACGAGCCACCCCGTTGATGAGGGGTGAGTCCTTTACTTACCAGTGGAAGTCATGGGTATTGGAAGAGAACCTACAACTGCCACTTTCCAAACGCCAGCAGAATTTCTATTGACATTCTAAATATTAATCCTTATCATCATAAATTGAACCAGTTTAAACTGAGCTGATCACATCTGATGGGTTAAATCGTAGTTTGCTTGATTTTTCCTACTTTATTTCTTACATTTTTGAGGCAAAGCTATCAGATTTTCTGCAGAATGGAGTGGTGGTGTCATTGTGGATACACCTGCAGCAAAAGTGCAGCACACATCTGTATAGTCATGGGAACCTCTGGGTGCATCTCAGGGAGAGGAGAGTGCAGCACACATCTGTATAGTCACAGGGAACTCTGGGGGTGATCGAAAGCAGAACTTGGGGAGCATTTCTTTCCAAAAGGCAACCAAAGAGCTGTGTTAGGAGCATGGAGAGGGACTAAGAATTTAGCTAAAATCACAAGAACTGTATTTCTGGTAGATATGACTGTTCTGAGTCATCTCTTTAATCCAAAAAAATCTATTATTATTTTTACAGTAACATTAAGGAGTTAATATTGAAGAACAGATAATTTATCAAGCCCAGTACTTGCCTTTATTAATACACTATGCACATGTTGTATGTAAAATTTTTAATCCTGCGTTTTAAATGACTTACAAAAAATGCTTGGATTTTACGTGGTGTTCTAAGTAAAAATCACCTCTTCCCCGAGGATGTCATTAATCTTAGTCGGTATCCTCCACTTTTATTCCATCAGGGCGATGAGGAATCTTCCCTAGGCTATCTGTTCGCTCGGTGTCAGGTAGCGGTTAAGTTTTCTTTTACTCAGATAGGAAAAGGTGTGAGCAAGTATAATCTCCCCCAAGTATTCACTAATTCCGCGGTATGTATAGGCTCAGTGGATAGTCTCAATTCAGCAATCTAGGAAAATGTTGTTCTCCTTTAATAGTTGCTATGAATGTTTCTGGGCATTTAGCCTGTAGCTGTTGGTAAACAGCAGTGTGAGGTTGAATAACAGTGGCCCATCAGCCTTGCCCTTGCCCTTCTGAGATGCGTGGTACAGTCTAGTGAGTTACCCGCTAATTTGTTTAAAAATCTCACTGCCTGTGGAATAAGTATTCATTTGAATTCATTTAGGATCCTATACTCTCTCTATTCCCTCAGCTGAAAAAAAAAAAAGTCATTTTTGGAAGGTTGGTGGGCAGAGGGCTCTCCACAGTGAGCAGCCATTCTCCCGTCAGTCTTTGCCTGACTTTTGTTTGAAACAGCTACTATGTATCAGAAATGAAGGCCCGGGGTCTACATGTCTCCAGCCGGCTGTTGTGGGTTCTTCCTCCTGCTTTTCTTTGTACAGTGTTGCGGGTTTCAGGGGTTTGTGTTTTTAGCTAAGACACCATAGTAAATCTTCTGGAGCTGTTTCCCCCGAGGCCCTCTCTGTGCTACTCCCCTGCACCTGTGATCAGCTGAGGCAATTCCAGTCCGCAGGGTCAGCACCTCACTCAGTCTGATCCTTGCACAGGGCTTGTTGCTGTTTCTTTTCCTGACTCCTCGGGTTCTAAGGCTTAACTTTTGCATTCAGAATAAAGTCGAAAAAAGGGCTCTCTAAGTCACCAGCTGGCACAGATATAGCTTCATGTTCCAAAGTCACCATGATATTGCAGATGTGTTCCAGAGCTTAGGAGAAGGAGTCAGAGAAGAGTTCTCCCCTTCTTAGAGAAGGAAGGACCGACTGATATTTATCACATCCAAAGTCATGGTACTTTTCCTAATATTGGTGGTCAAGCATTTTTCCTTTGTCCCTAACACAGTGAATGGCATTAACACCCAGGTCTCCTCGAAACTCACCACAGGTGGACTTCTTTCCCACAATACTGTGCGGCATTGAGAGCAAGAAGGAAAACTAAGACACTTTTGTTTTCACTGATTTAAACTGTTAGAAAAACATTTGACATCCTTGTCACAGATAGCATTTCACCCATTGTAGCAATAAGAATTGCGTAGAGAATACTTTGTTGTAGAAAAAAATCTCAGGTTTGTAAAAAGAATAGGTATGATATTGTCATATTTTTCATTACACATATGCAATTTTTGCTGGAATTCTCACATTCAATTTAGCAGACATTGGCAGAGATGATATTATTTATAAAACTCTGTGTCAATCACCAGAGAAGAGGAAGATGAATAGATCTGTGCCCGGGTAGCATGCAGTTTAATGAGTCAATGCAATCAATGGATAATCCACATTAACTCCAAAGCAGTTTGCAGAAAAGCATGGTTTTGGGGGTGATGCATTTTTTTTCTGAATAATTTAGTCCTGTAGTTTTGCTGTTGTTGCTATACTGTCTCCTGGATAGTTTCTGATGTGTGCAGCTCTACAAGGTTCCAGCATTCAGTTCTACACTAGGAAAAAGGAAGTGAGTCCTATATAACTCCTTCCTTGACAAAAACAAGGAAATAAAAAAAAATGAGTCTTCTGTTTTATATAGACTTCATTTCAGATAAATTATATGATTAGATTTCTGTGCAATCCCCCCAGACATGAGGAAAAGATCAATATGTGCAGGGAGGCAGAGCCTTAGCCCCCCACAGTGGAGAGGTTGCTGGAGTGGAGTCAAACAGGAGAGACTGGATTGTCATCCGTGGAGGTGAACAGAG